GTGACATGATATTTCTTGAACTTTTTTCTGTAATGGCTCACCTTTGAAACAGCCATCATCATCCACATCGCTTGCTGTGGGTACGTCACTAACAGTTTGGCGATAATCTCCTGAACAATATAGAAAAGAACGAGGACAACACAACAAAATTGTTTCCACACGACACTGCAAAGCCGTTTTTATTTATCTATTTATTTGTTTATTTATTTATTACAATTTAATGACAATAAACAACATCATCATTAGGATAGTCTACAAAAGAGTCACAGACCCCATACAAAGGCAGACCAGTGGATCATCAGTGATACACTCGGCTGTGCTTTGTGTGTCACTTTTTTGTTTTTTTTGTTCTTACCCCATTTTGACGTCGCCGATGATCTATTACTGAACCTTTGACGCACAACGTTACACACACACAAAAAAGGTACACATAACGCACTCTTCCGATTGGTCGTTGCCCATGACCTATCAGAGAACAAACTTATGACTGATGTTACAGAAAAAGTGTGCATTGTTTTATTTAGAATGATCCCTACAGCTTTGAAACGTCAGACTGTGGTAAGCAGATCAGAGGCACACTCTAAGAGTGCCACTTTCACGTGCTTAATAAAGTCTGATGTCCTCTGACATGTATTATTGAATAGAAGCATGGCAAAACATGGAGGCGGTCTCTCACTGATACCTACCTCGAGCTGAAGGAAGACCGTTTGGTTCGCATGGCAAATGCGAGAAATAAGTAGAGAGAACGCCGTGAGGAATTGGTAGGCTGGTAGTTTATTGGTCAGATCTGACATAATCTGTAGTAAAGAGCGAGGAAAACTACAGTTTAAACTTGATCATGATACGAGTCTTAATAGATCCACTGTGCTTCGTGGTTAAATTTCATTCATGGTTTACACTTTGTTTTCCATCGTTTCAAAATATAACCTTACCGTTAAACTCGTGATAGCGAATAAAATTCATTCAAACCTCATTGCAATCTGCCAACTTTTGCCTTTTTCCTCCTCTATCAGAAGCTTTGGTCTGTCGACCTTGGTTGAGTATAAAAAGGTTTGTAAGTTTGACATTAACAAAGTTGATCCAGTATATAATAACTATTATCGCTTCAAAACAAGAAACAGTCCCGGTACTAGACATGGAGTAAGTAGCTGTCTTGCAGGCAACTGAATTGAACTACGTAGGAGATAGTCGCTAAAGTGAGTGACGAAGACACGAGCAGTAAGGAAAAAAAAAAACAGATGTGGCAGAGGAACTCGTATTAAACCAGCAATTGTTTGAAATAATTGTGCACTTCTCGTCTATGCAATACCACGGAGGCAAGCATGAGTGTGGGTGGAGATCATACGCAATTATTGGATGAGTTTAAGCATGATATCATGACTCGGCTATGTCTATTTGGGAGAAATCAATTGCCAAAAGCTGCCCTATAAAACGCAAGCCGCTGTGAAAAAATTCAAATTCAATAAGTTATTCATGTTTAATTATTTTGTTGCTATATGTATTTATTTATCGATTTTTTTTTATTTTAAAATAAAAACGCATTACCTTGATCAGAAACTGTGGCGCCAAAATTAAGCCAAATACTTAGGAGACGAGGCATGGATTGATAGATAAATTTGTTTCCGAACTGAAGAGACAGTCCATAATGTTTAAGAACAAATGGAATGAAGTCTCTAGAAGGAGAATGATTCACATGTAGAGTTAGCATGGAAGTCTCAAAAAGAGTATTGGAATCTGTAAACAAGGTTAAAAGCCAAATCAACCATTATGGAGGATAGATGTCGTTAAGGTCACAAAAAAAAAATGAGGGCATCAATGAAGTCCCTGGAAAGAGAAAGATTCACACCGAGTTAGCATGGGAGTCTCAAACGAGTACTGAAATCTGTTAAACATGGTTAAAGGACCGAATCAACAATA